GAGTGTAAAATAGGGATTCTTTGATTACACTGTGTAGAACTATTTTACTTTATTTGACTAGGTTAGTATGAACATGCTTTGAAAAAAATGTTATAAATTTCGACATTCTACCAAGAAGACTGTTTTTGTTCTGGAACTGATTTCTATTTGTCAAGTCCATCTTCTTTTAACATAGTTGATCCCTTCAATAAAAGCCATGTATGGGATTAAAAGAAAAATAAAATAAGGAGGCTTTTATTATTCCCTCAGTCATATAACATTAAAAACAATAGTATTTTTAGCTCTTATAGTTCAAGAACACAATATTCATTAATATTCAGTAAAGTAGCCTGGAACATTTTTAATGTTTCCTTAAGGTTTTTGAATGACTGTATGTTTGGAAATTAGACAGTACTACGTGACAGGGTAGATCTGGTAAATTTTATATATTTACAATTACCAAACACATGTAATTTTACCTTTTATTTCTGACCCTGTGTGTTAGAGCTATTGCATGCTCTCCTGCCACCTTTTTAAATCACATTGCTAAGCTGTGGATTTATACTCAATAATGACTTAGGATAAACATTTTTTTCATTCATTGCTTTACATATTAGACATTTTTCTTCTCATTGTAAGCAGATTCAAATTAGATAGTCAATAAAACATCTTTTAAATCCCACAAGCCAATTATGTCTCTCTAGTCTGAATAGCTTCGCTCTTGTTCTTTCTTAGTATTAGAAATTATAGCTAAAATGAATTTACATGTGAAGGAGAAGACAAATATTTATTTTTAATAGCTAATAATTCTAGGAACAGTGCTTTTTAATAATTTGACTTCTTTTCAAAGTGGACACAGATAAGTAGTCCCCATCCACATATGGCTTATATTCCAAAGTATTTTAGTCAACTTTTGAGATGTGGGGCACTTTCTCTCATAAAAACAGTAGTTATTAGGTTCCCTGTAGACACTACCACTGAAAGCCCACCAAGGAACCTAATCCACTTAACCATGAATGTCCTAAACTTCCAGTGTGGTGGACACACTACCAGCAGTAGATTCTGAACAACATTTATGACATCTCTCTCACAAAGGAAATGGTGGGTAGCATCCAGATTGACACATTGGGGTGTCTCCCTGTGCTGTGCACCTCTGTCCCTAGGTGTAGGAAGTGGTAGAAAAAGATTCTGCAAAGTAACAAATGCACATTTATAAAACCCAGTTACACCTGTTATGAAAGTTACCGAGTAAGTCAGTTTTCATTGTTGTTAATGTGAAAGCAAAAACATGTTTAACTTATTTTCAATATCTTGACCTTATTTATGATCTACTAGATGGTTTATCCATTCAAAATATATATTTTTTTCCATTTAAAACTAATTTATAAACTTATGTACTCCTGGTAAGATTTGAAATCTTTTAGAAATTTGTTGAAATATTTTCACCATTTAAGACAGACTTCTGACTTAGGTGCTGATCTTAATGCCAGTCAGTATCTACTCTAAATATTTATGATAAAAATGCATTATTTTTTTAAAGAGCTTGATGAGATTTCTGATAAGTGATAGTACTCGAGAACGTGAATCTTAACCTTTGACCAAACCTCCACAAACCTCAGTTGTTGGTTAACTCACTAACTGATCACAAACAATATCGTCTTTGTTTAGAAGTCATGTTTTCAGCCTTTATGATAGCTAACGTGGTAAGCCTTAGTAGTAAACAGTCTTCTTTTCTGGAAGGAAGACTACATTTTCTCAAGAAATGGAGTTAGATGGGGGTACTATATAATACCAAATTCCAAATCATGAACATTTTCTCCATTGTGTACTTGAGGCAAATCATGCATCTTTGAGAGCAGTTTGGCCTGGCCCCTCAAGAGAAAAGCAAGTCACACTTGTAGTGAGGGTACTGTGGTTTGAATGGATACCATCACTCTTTTCTCCACAAACAGTGCAGAGAGCTGTCTGGAGTGGCAATTTGAACAGATCCCCTGGCGTTCCCTCTGCTCCTCCATCATTACAGTAAGTAAAGAACCACAGGGGGGACCTGGGAGTCAGAAAATTAGCTGTGCTCGATAGCCAATCTCCTCCTAAAGAAAACCATTCCATGTGCAGCTATTTTGGTACCTCTTCTCACATGCACAATCAGGGTTTTTCTGCAAGAAATCCTTCAGACTCAGCAAAAGCTGGGGTAACCTGGTTATCTTGATTGGCAAAACTAAAAGAACAAAACTAGGTTGTTAGTTGTCACTGCAGATGAGCAAGTTATCTTTTAAAATATATCGAACTGGTTCTGAGAACTCTTTAGAGAGAAAAAAATTCAACAGTACAAATTAATGAATTAGGAAAGTTAGAATGTCTTTCTGAATTTTCCATTCTAAAAATTTAATTATATGAAATAACATAAAGCTACCAAACTGCTTTCATATTCTGTTTAAAACTAGCTCCTAAAGATGTAGTCTTGTTTCATAGTTGTTGCACTAGATCAAAGCTTTTTCAAGTGTAAACCAGTTCTTCTCTGTATAGAAAGCGAACATTGTGTTAATGAATTGATAGGCACAGAGCATTTGTTGCCAACTGTAATTCCAGCCATCACACACAATTCTGTTCTGAGGTGGCAACAGCACATGGGAAGATGAACTTTTCCCTGTTTGTTTATGCCTTTTTCTTTGGCTGTATCTAATGACAGTATAAAATGTTCTTAATAAAGTTTTATGTTCTTTTTGAAATGTGTAGGTTATTTTTTGAATCTGAGTCATTGGGTACGGGATAGGGTGGGGAGACATTAATGGACTGGAAGAGAAGCAAAGCCCTGGGAGTATTCAGTGACATTATGTATTTCTATCGTTGAAAAAAGTAAAGGACTATTTGAAATTATTTTGGAGAAACTTGTATACTTAAATCTTGTACCTACAACTGTACATTGAGTCATTACAGAAAGATCCATTTGAGACTCATACATAACATTGGAGATTGAACCACTTGGATTTCTACATTTCATGAAGTGAATTCATTGATCACACTTTAACCTCCAGTACCTACATACTACCTCATAAAAGGATCACAGGTGGGGCCAGCAGGTGGCGTGGTGGTTGGGGATGCTGGACTCCCACATGGCTGACTGTGGTTCAAGTCCTGGACCTAGAGGCTTGCTTTCTCTCTCTCTCTCTCTCTCTGTCTTTCTGGAAATATTAAAATAATAATATTAAGTAAAGTTTAATAAAATATTTCTTTAAATTAAAAAAAATGGATCATAGGTGAAAGCAGTTAACAAAGTAAGTTTCATTTAGAACACCAAACTGCCTTGGAATTAAAGGCAGTTGGAATTAAGTGTTGATATTGTAAAAGAAAAAAATTATTCTAACACTTGTTCAAACTGTAAGGAAGACTTCACTCAGAACCACTGCAGTAGGTCTCGAGGTTATTTCATCAGGGAAGAGAGATTGGGCCCAACTCTGAATATGGCAAAGACAGCTGTGGTTTTATAGCCAGTGAGCCGAGGAAGGGTGTCAGTAGATAAAAAATTTCTAAAAAGGGTGGGTGAATTCTTGCTAAAGGTAGGCCAAGTGAGTCATATATCAAGGGTGGGGAATTTTCACTAAACTGATGAGGAAAATTCTTGCTAACACTGAAACAGGCAAGCTTTTGAGAGTCCTCTTTTCAACTAAACCTCATCTTTGAGCTTTTTCTAATATCTGGTTAAGAAGAGAGTCTGTTGGGGCCAGCCAGGTGGCCTGTTGGTTAAGGCATTGGATTCCCAGCATGGCTGACTGCGGTTCAAATTCTGGACTTGGCAGCTTACTTTTTCACTTTCTCTCTCTTTGGTGAATTAAGAGAGTAATAATAATGATAATAAAATTAAATCATTTTTTTAAGAGGTTTTTGCTATAGGGCACATGCAGTCACCAGAAAGACAGAGACAGAGAGACAGAAAGCGAGAAATCACCTCCCAGGGGGGATGGCCATGCCACAATCCCTTCTCCTCCATTCTCCTCTTGGAATCTTGGGCATGAACGCACATGTGCATGGCATGAGTTTAAGCCACCGGGTCCAGGACTCGAACCGTGGTCGACTAGATGTGAGTTCAGTGACATAGCCATTACACTAACTGCTGGTCCCCCAAATTATTCTTTTTTTTTTTTTTTGTTTTTGTGTTTTTTTTTTAGAGAGAGATTTTTACTCTAGGGCGTGTGCACTCACCAGGGAGATACAAAGGGAGACAGTGAGAAATCACCCCGTGGGGGGATGACCACACTGCAGTCCCTTCTCCTCCAGTCTTCTCTTGGGATTTTGGGCACACATGACAGGCGTGAGTTTAAGCCACTGGATCCAGGACTTGAACCATGGTCGACTATGTGGGAGTCCCACAACCATTACATCATCTGCTGGTCTCAAAATTAAATAATTAAAAAAAAAAGTCTGACAAAATAATCACAACAGAAAGATTTTACTAATACCTCAAAATAATTTGCCTACATCATTAGTAGAATGTGTTTCAAAGACCATCCAACGAGACCAGCGGGTGGCAGTGGTTAAGGCACTGGACTCCTGCATGGCTAACCATGGTTCAAGTCCTGGACTTGGGAGCTTGCTTTTCCATTTTCCCCCTCTCTCTCTCTCTCTCTCTCTTGCTCTGTGGTCAAATTAAAAACATGATGATGAGGGTGAATAACATTAAATAAACTAATTCTTTAAAAACAAAAGAACATCCTCCATAGGGTAGTGCTAAATCTTGTTATTCATTCAGTGGTTTTATTATTGACATAGCTAATTCAGATTTTTTAGATTTGTTGATCAATAATAGTATGAATTGGTTGAGCATTGTCATTATGCCATTCACTCTTTTAGGTGATTTTCATGTTACCATCTCATTGAGACCACACAAGAATTTTATGAGGTAGGGATTGTTATCATCTCACTTTACATATGAAGAAAGAGACTCAAGAGAAATTAAAAATTTGCCAAGGGTTACAGAGTAAATAAATGGTACAGCCAGGTTCTGCCCCAGGGCAGGACCACCATGACTACAAGCTTAATAGTAGGCTATACTGCTTCTCAAATAATTCCTAGTCTTAGTGAAGGGAATCATTGTATGGTTTATTAAGTTAGAAAAATATTGTTATTTGGTTGAAGAGTTTAAACATTTAAATAAATATTTAATATTAGAATTCATGATTGTTATGAATTTATCATTTCCAGCTCTCTCCTGGAGTGGTCTATTCTAAACTAGACTTTATTATCCCCAAGTAAAAGTATCCCTAATCATCAGGGTTTTTGTGTCACTACTAGGTTTTGCTCAAAGTTAACAGGATTTCTTGAACAATGGCTGTATCTATATTTTTGGGCTGAGGAAATAAAGATGGTCCTGGAGCCTTTTTTGCAAGAAAGCTAGGAGGATGTTTTCAAAGTTCTGATGGAGTTGAAGGAACTCTCATTCACCAAGATGTAATAATTTGAGCATCTAAATGGAAAATAAAAAGTTTGGTTAATTGTGGGACCAGCAGATAGCAAAAACCTCTCCCCCCCAAAAAAAAATAAAATTTAACAAATTGTAGTTAATTTAAGCAATCTGAAAAACTGACTCAGTTACATTTTTCTTTTTCTTTTGCCATAGGGCATGTGCACTCATGGGGAGGTGGGGAGAAAAGACAGAAGGAAAGTGAGAGGTCACCCCCAAGGCATCATGGCCACACAGCAGTCCCTTCCCCTTCATTCTCCTCTCAGGATTTTGGGTATACATGCACATGTGTACATGATTTTCAAGTCATGAACTGTAGTCGGTCATGTGAGAGTCTAGCACCTTAACCACTGTCCCACCTGACCCCTCAATTACATTTCTAAAATGAAAAACTGGGATTTTTCTTTTCAAATAGCAAATGTTATATACAAATATAAATTTTTTTTGTTTTAATTAGAAAACTTGGGACCAGCAGATGGTGTAACAGATATATTGCTGGACTCCAATGTATTTGACCATGGTTCAAATCCTGGACCTGGTTGCTTAAACTCACACTGGGCATGTGTACGTGTGTGTGTACCCAAGATCCTGAGAGGAGAATGGAGGAGAAGGGATTCTGCTGTGGCCATCCTCTTGGGGGTGATTTCTCTGTTTCCGTTTGTCTCTCTGGTGAGCACAAATGTCCTATGGCAAAAAACCTCTCACACATGAAAAACGTGGGGTTGGCCCCATAGCCTACTGATTAAGGGAGCATATCCCACATGGCTAAATGTCTTTTAAATCCCGGCCCCAGTGGCTAGAAAAATACACCAGGCATGTGTATGTTGTCCAAATTCTCAGCAGGATGAAGAAACGGAGAAGGGATTGCAGCATGACTATACCCTGGCCTAAGGGTGCTTTCTGGAGAGTGAGTTCCTGCTGGCAATTAAGCAAACAAATAAAAACTATATTACATTGTAAAATTTGTCTCATGACAGACATGTTGAATTAGGCCTGAGGAACAGCCTCAGCAGAGCTCATTATATAATGTGTTTCAAAGAACCCTCCCATAGGCTACTGGAAGGTACTTGGGCAAGGAGTCCCTCACCAGGCTCTTACAGAAAAGCTGTACTATGGTAGGCCCAGGGCTTGCTCCTTAGAAGTCCAGTGAAGGTACGCTCGACTCAGTGATCATAGCTGTGAACATTTATTTGTATTACATGTCAATAAATGCTTTATTTAAAAAGAAAATGCCAAGAGAAAGGATCTGGATTAAGGAGACTGAGATGACAAAAGGTAGGACTATTCCTGAATTAGAGGAAGGATGGAATTCAGGGACAGGTGGCCTAACTGGCCTTGTTACGGAACGGCTACCTCTCCTAAACTAACAGGAGAGGCCAGACCAGCACCAGGGAGAAAATGAGATAACTACTTCAGAACAGTGTCTCAAATGTGCAATTTGTATTTTGAATTCTAGTTCACTGGTACTGCCTTTCTCAGAGGTGACCCACTTAGAAACATTGCTTGGAGTTCTAAAACATTAGAAGTCACCATTTTCCTGTTTACAATTAAGGCTTGAAGAGCTGTGCTGAGGGAGTGAGTAGTGGGTAGCATGGAACTAGGGTATGTTGAAGATGATTCATGTGTTGTGAATAACTTGAGGCACAGTTACCTTTGTCCCCCTCTTGTCTGTTTCCTACCTATTCCTCTTTTTCTTCTAATAAGGTTTGGTCACCCCATCCCTCTGACTGGTGAGGGTCTCCTTTTCATCCTTATGGTAGTTGCTCTTTAACATTGGCCTGCTGGCCCATGGGGTCAGTGTACTTGTTTAAGCTCCACATCCCATTACTGGAAAAGCTGCCCAGAGCTAACTGGAGCTGGCTGCAGGGAGTACTGCAGTAGCTGGTATGATGCTTACACATATGAGCAAGCCCTATGACAATAGGATGGAGGTCCAGGAAAGGCTCGAAATTAGAGCTGCTCCGAAAGTATGAGCCCTCCACTTTTGTTACTTTTCCTTTCACCTAAGTATGTACATGGTACCATTTTTAGGTAATTTTTTTAAGGGCAGCTTTATTGGCATAGTTCACATACTGCAAATTCAACCCTTAAAAAATGGTTTATTCCTTCCATGATAGGTAGAGGAGTGTACCTCCAACAGTGATTCAACCCCCAAACAGCCAGTCAGGATCATAGGAACATGCACATTTAGCTGGCACAGGGAGACATTAGGAAGTGAAGTACGGATTCCCCTATGGGATCACAACATTGAGGAGTGTTGCATTACCACTGTGCCACCATGTAGAACCCTAAATCACCTTTTTATAGTGTATAATTCAGTGATTTCTAGCATATTCACAGTGTGCAACCATTGTTAGTAATTGTGGAACATTTAATTCCCCTGAAAAGAAACCACACAGTGGGCCTGCAAGTGGTGTGAAGGTTAGGGTGGCTGAATCCCACACAACTGGTTGTATGGTTCAAGTCCTGGACCATGGTAGCTCACAAAATCACACTGGGAATGTGTGCATGTGTGCCCCAAATTCCGAGACTGGAGAAGGGATTATAGTGTTGTCATATCCCCAGGGTATAATTTTTATTTTATTCTATAAACATAAGAGGTTTATTCAGGAATGTGCATTGCAGTGAGCATGTGCATAGGGAAGTAAAGAAGGACAAGGGTTTTAAAAGGTAAAAGGAGGGTTAAGTAAGTTGCCTTGACAGAATTATCCTTGGATACAATGATCAATAACAAGGCTGGTATAAGTTCAAGGCTAGACAGGTAGTTGCTAGGCAGATTTACCTGTAAAAGTGTGTGTGTGTGTGTGTGTGTGTGTGTGTGTGTGGTTGTGGTGACACTTGTACATGCTTGTCTGGCAGAGACTTTCATGATAATTCTTAGTGGCTGTACAAATAAATAATACAATGGTATACAGGAGTTCCCTTTTCTAAAGAGCTTATTAAAAATCAGGTTGAGTATCATCTTATATTATCATTTAAACATACACCTATGGAGGGCCAGCAGGTGGCATGGCAGTCAAGGTGGCTGGATCCCACATGGCTACGTGGTTCAAGTCCTGGACCCAGTGGCCTGAAAAAACATGTTGGCGTGTGTGCTCCAAATCCCGAGTAGAATAGAAAAATGATTGCAGTGTGGCCATTCCTTCTTGGGGAGTTTCCACCCTCTCTAACAAGCACACACACACACTATAGCAAACAAAAAATAAAAATACCTATATCCCAGGAAAGATTTAAGATGGCTAAACTATTATGTTCTGATACAGGTTTTAGACCCAGAAGTGTCTTTACCAGAATAAAACTGAAATGCCACGTTATGGTTAAACAGTACTGTAGGACCAGTGGAAAGTTGTGAAAATAAAAATTTCTAGGGACCAGCAGTTAGCATAATAGCTATGTCGCTGGACTCCCGTGTAGTTGACCACAATTCGAGTCCCAGACCCAGTGCTGGGCACATGTGCGTGCATACCCAAGATCCCAAGAGAATGGAGAAAGGGACTGAGGTGTGGCCATCCCCCCTGGGGGGTGATTTTTCGCCTTCTATCTCTCCGTCTGTCTCTGTCTGTCTGGTGAGCGCATGCGCCCTATAGCAATAGAACCTCTCCCCCCAAAAATAAGTAAATAAAAATTTCTATCTTGCTGTGTCATCTATAATTAAGGATATTAAGAAAAATATAAATAATGGGCCAGTGGGTGGTGTGGTGGTTAAGGCACTAAGTCCTGTGTGGCCAGCTATGGTTCAAGTCCCAGACCAGCAGCTTGAAAATTATACCAGACACGTGTGTGCATGCCCAGAATTCTGAGTGGAGAATGGAGAAGGGATTGCAGGGTGGCCACCCCTGCCCCCAGGGGGTGATTTCTCACTTCCCTCTCTCTGCCTCCAGCAAGTGCGAGCACCCTATAGCAAAAACCTGAAAAAAAAACAAAACAAAACTGGAATATTCAGATTTTACTAATAGAGTTAGGCATATGATTTTGAGAAAATAAAGGCATAACTTGATCGTTTTTCTGAATTAACAATAACGGTAGGCACATGGAAAAACTCTTCAAGAGTAAACAGATCCTCTCATAAAGGTGTTAATCTCCCCTTGAAAGAAAATGATACAAATGACTACTTCTAACTGGAGGAGAAAATACCACTGCTCAATGTCCATATACATTTTTATTATTTACAAGGACCTTTCACATACTTTTTGATCCTCACACCCACTCTGTGAGGTAGCCAGTTTCCGATATACTAATAAGGTATCCCCATAAACACTGAAAGATGTCCCAAAAAGTTTGTTCTTGAACCTGGTTTCCATGTATTTAAAAAATAAATAATTATTTCACTAACATGTGTTTCAGAAATTACAGTCTTTATTTTTAAAGTCCACCCTTCACAGTGAAGATAAAAAATGTCGGAAGTCCACCTTTGGATTCTGTTGGGATTCACTCTGACTAAGCAACATTTTTAGTTGAGAGAAGTGTTTCTTTGTTTTGCTCACATTCTTTGAAGAGCAACTGGGTATTGACTGTCCAGAGGTAGGTGTTCTGAAAAGAAACAAAACAACTCTTAGTTATACTGAGAAATGACAACTTAAAAAATGTTCTTCCTGAAGAGACCAGCAGATGGTGTAGTGGTTATGCTGTTGGACTTCCACATAGTTGATCAGTTTCAGTCCTGGACTTGGTAGCTTAAACGTCACATTGGGAGCTCATGTGTGTATGTGTGCCCAAAATCCTGAGGAGATTGGAAGAGAAGGGATTGCAGTGTGGCTATTTCCCTTGGGGAGTGATTTCTCGATTTCTGTCTCTCCATCTGTCTCTGTCTCTCTGGCCAGCATACGCACCATAGAAAAAAATCTCTCTCTCAAAAAAAAGTTCTTCCCAGTCCAGTAGGTGGTGCGGAGAGGCTAAGGTGGCTGGATTCCACATGGCTAACTCTGGTTTGAGTTTGAGACCTGGTGGGCTTGAAAATTATACCAGGCATGTGTGCATGTGTGTGCCTGTCCAAGATCTCAAGAGGAGAGTAAAGAAAGGATTGTGGCATGGCAATCTCCCCAGACGGAATTTCTCTCTCTCTCTCTCTCTTTCTCTCCAGTAAGCACACATATCCAGTTAGCAAAATCTTAAAAAAGTACTCTTCATGCTTAGCCTAGATAACTGCTACTAGAATCATCTAATCATCTATTATGTTATATATGGCCTTTTTTATACTCAGTGCAGTCATTCCCATTTTGTTAAGAATTTTCGCAACAGGCTACAGGCAACATTTAGAGGGTAGATTGGGTGGTTCTGGACAATACCTGAGAGATAAGGCTACAGATATTATGTTATCAAATATGAGTGCTCTTTAAGTCTGACATAAAGATTCATGACAGTTTTAAGCACAGACTTCTAAAACATTGCTTCTTCACAGCTCCAGACCATTTCTTTTCTTTTCTTCTTCTTCTTCTTTTTTTTTTTTTGGAGAGGTTTTTGCTATAGGGCGCATGCACTCGCCAGAAAGACAGAGATAGATAGAGAGACAGAAAGTGAAAAATTGCCGCCCGGGGCGATGGCCATGCCAAAATCCCTTCTCCTCCATTCTCCTCTCGGGATCTTGGGCACGCACGCACACGCGCCCGGCGTGAGTTTTAAGCCACTGGGTCCAGGACACGAACCGCGGTTGACTACGTGGGAGTCCAGCGACATAGCCATTACGCTAACTGCTGGTCCCAGACCATTTCATTTTTCAAAAGCAAAGGTTCTCTGGGAACCAGCAGTGAGCATAATGGCTATGTCGCTGGACTCCCACGTAGTCAACCGCGGTTCGTGTCCTGGACCCAGTGGCTTAAAACTCACGCCGGGCGCGTGTGCGTGCGTGCCCAAGATCCCGAGAGGAGAATGGAGGAGAAGGGATTGCGGCGTGACCATCCCCCCTGGGGGGTGATTTCTCGCTTTCTGTCTCTCTCTCTGTCTGTCTGGTGAGCGCACGCGCCCTACAGTGAAAATCTCTAAAAAAAAAAAAAAAAAGCAAAGCAAAGGTTCTCATGGAGGTACCATTCCATTGTATCTTTCCCACTAGAATATGAGCTCCATAATACACTGTAATTGTATATTCTAGTACATTTTAACAGGGTTAAAGCACATAGAAAATGCCTAACACTATCCAATGATTCTCCACCTGGTGTGTATTTCATTCCCTCTAGTTGTGTTCCATCCCCTCAAATCCTTTTAAAAGGTTTGTCGTTCTTCTGACTCCCATCTACATTGATAAATATGAATATCTTTCTGATTCCTGCATATATCTAAGTAATAGTCTGGTCTAAATATAACTTAACAGCTTTAAATAAGCCAATTTTTCTTTTATCTACATTTTTTTCTTTTTACTATATAGAAGTGAAATTTCTATGATGAATCTGTACATCAAACATCAAAATAATTAAACATGTAGAGAAAACTGGACTTGAAACCTTAACTGCTCCCGTTTTGTAAACTGCAAACCCAGTATCAAAATTTCAACTCAGTAAGTAGACAATCCAGTCCTTGAATTTTTTTTTGCTTTTGTTTTTGTTTTGTCATAGGGTACATACACTTGCCAGAGACAGGAGACAGAGAGGGAAAATGAGCAATCACCCTCACCAACCCCCCAGCAAGAATGGCCATACAACAATCCTTTATCCTCCATTCTCTAGAGATTTGGAGCACGCATGCAAATGTTCAACATGATTTTCAAGCTGCTGGGTCTGGGACTTGAACTGTGGTCCCCATGTGGGAGTCCACCACCACGCCACCTGCTAGCCCCAAATTTTCTGTTATGTTTAAGATACTGCCATACTCAATTCTCTTTTGTAACAAGATGTTCAAAAATTCCTTTCAAAGTATCTACGGAATTAAATGTATTGACTCATTGTGAATGACTTATGACGATTATTAAAATATGTATCTGGTCATATAGTTAATAATCATTTGATGGATCTAGATTCAGTTAGATTGCCACAGGAATTTCTGGCACAGGAAAGAGCAAAGGCAAAGGCTTAGAGCAGGACAGTAAACTGTGAGTAGTTGTTTTTCTGGCATGTAGGGGAATCAAGGCACAGTAAGAAAGGCAGGCAGACTGATGCCAGATAGTGAGGACTGGAAAACTAGGCTGGAGTATTTGATCCCTCTGCTACACAGTGAAGTGTTAAATCTTCTAATGAGAGCTGTGCTTCATAAAATCCGACTAGACATGTCTGAAATCAGGAGGAAAACCTATTAGGAAATCACTGTAGTAGTCCTAACGGGAGATGAGTAAGGACCTGGATGAGCACAGCAGCGGGAGGGAGGAAAAGGGGAGAACACATGCAAACGGCACAGAAGTAGAACAGGTAGAAACTTGTAATGAGAACCAAAGGAGCAGGGGTTACTGACTGTGTTTTAGGTCAGACTGTCTTTAAGGCATGATCATTCACAGAATAAGGAACCTAAGGAGAAAGGCATGTTTAAGTGGTTAGCTCTGGGGACATGATGAACCAAACTTTGGAAATGTAGGGCACTGGAGAATTATAATTAGCAAATGGGCCCAGAGAGAGGCTGGAAGTAGAGTAGTAATATACCTGGAAGTAACACACATGGAGATGGGAGTTGCTGATATGGGAGGAAATATGTGACAGTAGAGAAGACAATGGTATGAGGGAAAAAGGGACCAGGGCCCAAACTGTAGGAAATAGTTAGGAAGTGGATATTAAATAGAGGCAATTAGAAGAAATACTGAAGTTAACACCAGCTACTCAAATAAAGCTAATACATTGAGATACCTGAATATGGATGCTGGACTCTTGCCTTTGAAGCCAGACATATCGTGATTTAAGTTTCCAGAACTCGGTGTCTTTCTCTCTGGTGTCTTCAGGCTGAGTTTACTTGCAGGGGTGGCAGGATTGCTCTTCTGTGCTGCTAGAAAGCTTCTGCTTTTACCGTGATGTTTGATGGTTCTGTTGCATGTCTTACAAGTAATCAACTACCATAAAAATAAGAAATTGGTCCTATGAATTCTCTTTGAATTTAATCTAATAAACCACAGGTCCACTGAATTCTTATGTTGGGACTACCCTGGGTACTGCAGAGTAACACAGACACTGCCCTCTAGGAGCTTGCAGTACAGCAGTAGGAATCAAACGAGATAAATTTAAAATAAGACAATCCTCAACAAAACATTAATAGCTAAACATTGATATGTAGTTTAAGGTAACCTGTTTATTTGTTTAAGACTGAGTCTTACAATGCTGTGATCCTCCTGTCTCAGCCTCCCACCATGATTGGCCTTTAGGTGGGACAGGAAATCAAACCCAGGTCTTGTCCAGGGTCCCAGCCTGAGGAACACAGTACCTCAGCAATATGTGCCACCATGGCTGGGTCCTCAATCTTTTTAAAGATAATGAATTCTGGGGACCAGCAGATAGCATAATGGTTATGTCACTGGACTTCCATGTAGTCAATCACGGTTCAAATCCTAGACCCAGAAGCTAAAAACTCACTCTGGGTCTGTGTGCATGCATGCCCAAAATCTTGAGAGGAGAATGGAGGAGAAAAGGGATGTTGGCATGGCAATCACTCCCAGGGAGTGATTTCTCACTTTCTGTCTCTCTGTCTTGGTCTCTCCGGTGACTGCACACAACCTCTTTTTTTTTTTTTTACAGAGGAAAAAAAAATAATGACCTCTGTACTTCCTCAATATAAAACTGTTAGGGGAGGATTGGGGAGGAGAGTGGGGATGAACATCTTGGAAGGATGTTCTGTGTATTAGCAATAGACATTTAGTATCATTTACAGATGAACTTCAAGCCTTTTCCCAATGAAACATGGCAGAATATCATTGCAAATTTATGTGACCCCTTCAAATTCTTGATGATTCTATAAATACAGGTATAATTTAAAAAACCAAATGGATTATTGCATTCTCATACCTCTTCACTTCCTTCATTAGCTCTACAAATTGATTTTCTTTTCAGAATTCATTTTGCAAGAAATGGTCCATTTTCTAGTTAAATGTCTTTCTTCTACACATCTAATTTACAATGCACAGGACTCAGCCTATTCCTCAGCAAAATTAATACAAACTGGTTTGGGTGAAAAGTATTGTTCATGTGCAGATTAAAATGCAAATAAAATGTGCATATATACAAAGTCTATGTTGCTTTCCACTTTTTGGAAAGAGGCTATCTACAGAGTAAAGCAAATCGGCAACATGAACACACCCTAGCACATTTCTAGCTGACATCTGATTAAAATGTTAGAAAGCAAGCTTTGTGAGGGCAAGACACTGGAAGACAGTGAGGCAGTGTTTATTATCTTGCCATTTGAAAACACTTTCCAGGGCTGGCAGGTAGTGTGGTGGTTAAAGGCACTGGATTCCCACATGGCTAAGCGCAGTTTGAGACCCAGACTTGGTGGCTTGAAACTCGTGCTGGTCGCAAGTATGCATGCCCCAAATCCTGAGAGAATGGAGAAGGGACTGTGGCATGGCCAGTACCTCTAGGGGGTGATTTCTAACTTTTTCTGTCTCTCAGTGTCTCCATCGAGTGCACAAACCTTATAGCAAAAAATCTTTCTCAAAAAAAAAAAAAGTTTAATGAATGAACACAAGATTCACTAACTTTTGTTAGCATACAGGCAAATACACACTGACATGGGGAGGAAATGACTGAAGTGACACTGGTACAGTACCCGCATCCACCCAGTACTGCTGTATGAAGGACTACTAACTGAAAAAATAATTTACTGACAACCACGATTCAGGTGGAATCATATTGGTCAACTCAAGAAATCCTCAAATTTGTGAAAATAATTGTTCAACAATGAGATCTGAGAACAACCTGATAGCTCACAATGTTTGGTTTTAAGTAATCATGAAAAATAAAAGTAACTTTCTTCTGATGAAACTCCACTAGAAAAAAAAATTTTATGTATATATCTTGGTAATTCAAATATACTACTATAAATCTCATATTCAGGATGATTATTTTAAATTTATTATTTCTTCCCTGAGAGGGAGACAGAGATAGACTGGTACCCCCGTGGAGTTCTTACACCACAAACCCGCACCTAGCCCCAGCCAGCCATGCCATAGGTATGTGCGTGTATGTGATGTATACAGTGAGGCCTCAGGATGCAAACTTGGGATCTTCCCAGGTGACCCCACCATCAAGGAGCATTGCATTACTACTGCACTACCGTGGCTTGCCACTAGGACAATTCTTAGTCAACCTTATTTTAAGTGAAAGAAAGGAAAATTCTAGTTTATTCATACATACCAGAACTGCTATCTTACCAATATGCTTTTGGAGTCTTTGTACTTTTTCACAATTTTTGCTTCTTTATAACTGAGTGTATAATTTTTTGCTTCTTGATTAAGAAGTTTCTGTATTTTCGGTGTTAATTTGGCCTTGGGTTTGAGGCGCACTCGAGAGTTATCCAGAACCAGTAACTGGAAACAATATGGACACGTTTCTTCAAAAGTGCTCTGATCATCTAAAATTATATAAATGAATCTCATAGTCAGCAAATCAGAGTATTTTGTTATTTCCAACTGCCAACAATATAAATTTAAAAGTATATCTATATGTGAAGGTATACCTACATTTAATATGAGCATGTTTTAAAATTTTTAATGTTTTGTTTTAAAAACTTTTTTAGTCTGCTAGAGGGAACATGCACTCACTGCAAACAAAGAAAGAAGAAAAGTGAGAAAGCACCCACCATGGGGGAAGGTCACACACAGAAATTCCTCTCTTCCATCTCTCTCCTTGCATGTTCTTCAAGCCTCTGGGTTTGGGACTTGAATCACACAGTCAGTCATGTGGTTAAGGCAGCCAGCTGCCTTAACTGTCATGCCACTGGATGGTCCAGAGGAGATATTCTTAAGCAAACTCAGAATATAAAAATTTATAAACAAAAAATTATTTTGCAAAATAATTTCATTTATTTACTCCTTTCAGTGACAGGCAAGTCTCTGACCTTTGGTAAATAGCTCACTACTTGCTACTAAAAAAAAAAAAAAAAAAGGCTGTTATGTTTAATCAATTCCACCACACAAAACAAACTGCACTATGATTTTTTTTTTCTTTTAACAGCGCAATGAATATTTACTTAGTACCTCCTGTTGAGCACTTCGGTAAGTGCTGGAGTACAAGAGCAATATAAAGAGCTAAGGACTATGCTGTAATTTAGCTCTGCCAAATGTAAATTTCATTCATATTTACCCAGTGACTATTAAGTGCCAGTCATTGTTCTAGATGCCGGAGATACAGTAGTGAGCAGAGGACAGTAATTCATGGAGGCACACAATAAATATAACAATATCAAATGTTAAATGCTGAGAACTAATAAAGATAGTAAAGAAAATGAATTTAAACAGGATGATTAGGGAAGACTTCATTTCCCTGAGATGGTAAGCCATTTGAGAGATTGAGAGACCTGGCATGATCTAGCTCAAGATCACTCATGCTGCCAACTTCAGAATATACTATAAAAATGCATGTGATGGGCCAGCCCAAGGCCTGGTGATGGATGAATCTCATATGGCCTACCCTAAGGTTTTAATCCCAGACCCAGTATCTTGGGTGTTCCTATGTGTACCCCAAATCCCAAAGTAGGGAGAAATGGAGAAGGGATTGTGGCATGATCAAGTCTCACAGGGGTGGTGGGGAGGGCTTTCTGACTTAATTCCTCTTTCCAGCAAGCCCTCTAACAAATTTTTAAAACAGTGTGGGAGCTGTTGGCAGTGGTCAGAAGAGAGGAGGTGATGGGTGCTATCCTGGGCTGGGGTAGTAGCAGTGGATGTGGTGAAAAGTGGCTAGGTTTTGGATATACTTTAAAGCCAACAGGATTTGCTGGCATGTTGGCTTGTTGAAGGGAAGTGGGTTGTTACAGAGTCAAAAATTACTCCAGTTTTGGGCCTGAATAACCATAAGGATGGAGTTACCATTTACTGAAATAGGAAGAGCAGGAGGCACTTGGGGTAAAGCTCATGCTTGGACATACTAATTAGGTTCCAATGCCTTCTAGATATTAAAGAGATTGTCAAGAAGGCATTTGAGTATGAGAGTCTTAAAAGCCAAGAGACTGGAGAAAAACTGTCCCCAAGGAAGTGAGTATAGTGAGAAGTCCAAGGGCCACATCCTGGGACACTACAATATTCAGAGACGGGGAGATTAGGAGGAATAAGCAAAACAGATCGAAGAGTGTTGGCTTATGAGGCAGGAGGTGAATTATGCCTGGAAGCCAGTGAGGAAACTACTGTATTTTGAGATAATGATCCATGTGTCAAACGCCGCTAACGGTCTCAAGCAATGAGGAAAGTGAGTCGCCAGCCTTCTCTTTTAGGTTATTCATTCTGAGCGCTGTGCGGAATGGAGAGCGAGGCGCCTTGAGCCCAACCCGCAGCAAACGGTGTTCTCCCTACCGTGTGACGAACTGTAGGCCCAACTGTAAGAGAGGAAGGGACTGGTGAGGGGCAGGCACACCTCCCCGCCGCGCGACTCCCGCCTCCCTTCCCGTCCTCTTACAGGAGATAGCGGGCCTGGCCCGGGCAGCTCTCGCGCAGGCCCCGCGCCGCAGCCTCCAGGTAGTGCTTCCGTCTCATGGCCTCCTCGCCAGCGGCTCTCTTCCTACTCGGAACACGCACGCAGAGAAGCCGGAAGTCGTCATCCCAATGACGCCGACGATGGCGTCAGAGTGCACGCACCCTCTGGAAACAGGCTCGGTAAGGCCGAGTAGTTCCGGTGTCCTTCGCGTACCGTTTGTCTAGCTCGTGGTCCCGCCCCGTGAGACCTCGCGTCTGACCCGACCTGGGTGAGCTGCTTGGTCAGGCAGGTGTAAGGTACAGCGTCTGCCATTTCTTCAAAGCGGACAGCAAGTGATGCAAAGCTCCCGTATTAGGTACACTAGTGTTTTTCCACGGCATATGTGCCAGGCATTTTCTAAGCATCTTATCACATAGGAACTCATTAATCTTCACGATAACCCCATAGCATAGGTGAAATGCTACTTTATCATATAGATAAAGTTTTTGTTTCCGTTAACACAGTATATCAGTTCAAGATTCTTTATTCTGTTTCACCCACCAATAATGCAGAAAAGGGAACGTTCGTGTGCACACATCATACACACACTCCCCCTGCCTCCCGGCAGGTTTTCCTTTGGCGTTTCCTCTTCTCTCTCCTCTGAGCACTACACACCTGTATCTGGATGCGAAGGATTAGCATCTGTACTTGCATTGCAACTTGTCCCCCAACCTTTCTTCATCTGCTCCTAGCATCATCACTGTTTCTTTTCTGCCATTTGCTGCTGGTCTACCCCAGGTCCTGCTGGCTCTTCACCAGAAACAAATCACTTACTCTACTGACTCCTCTGCCCCACCATGACCACCCTCTACGGTCTGTGCCCCTACCACAGTTCCTACCTTCTTTCCTTTTCCTTCACTTACCTTCTTTCTTCAGAGGGCAGCCTTATTAAAAAAAATTTTTTTTGACTGGACATAGAATGTTCTTTCTTAGAGCCCTCCCAAGGGGTCTTCGTTGCACCTGAAATACCAGACCAGGCCAGAGTCTCCAGGGCTCTCAGCAGTTCACTGCCCCAACCTCAGAGCTCAGCCTATCCCACCTGCCCACTTTTACACTGCTCTTTTCACACTGGCTTTTTTCTCTGTCTCTCAAACATGTCCTGCTCAGACTTACTCCAGGGCCTTTGCTGTTAATCTCCTTTGAATTAGAATACTTCCCATCTCTGCTTTTCCTCATCATTTGTAGAAGCCTTCCTTGACTACATGAATAAAGAATTCCTCTCTGTCTCTGTCCATCAAGTCATTCCTTATTGCTACTGGTATTTATCATTGTCACAGTAACTTCCATATCTGAAATTGTCTTATTCTCTTATTGTTTACCTGTTCCCTCCAAAATTAAACTATGGCAGAACTTTGTCCTGTTTACTGTTCTATGTATGGTCTCTAGTCTATGACAGGCATGATACAGAACAGGTACTTTATAAGGATATCCTTAATTCATTAGTTTTCACAGTGGCCCTGGAAGGCAGGCACTGTTGTCATTGTGACTTCACAGGTGAGGAGACTGAGGCTCAGACAGATGAAGTCACTTGGCTAAGGCTATAGCTGGTGTGAAACTTAACATAGCTCCCCCAGGACCTAAAGTCCATGTTCTTCATCTTGGTCTGCTCCTTGCCTGGTTCACTTGTTATAGACCTTCTAGCACATCACAAGCTCTCGAGGGAAGGATGAGTTTCTGCAGCAGTATTAATTTTCTCTACATTATTTCCCTGCTCTAAAACCTCCTCTGTCTAAAATATCAAGCATCTGTATGGTATCTCATCAGCACCACTTCTCCTTTCTCTAGAAAAACCCTGCACTTTAACTAGCCCCCCCCACCCCACCAGGAGTTTTTTCTTTCTATTCAACTAGAAGACAGGATAGGATCAACAATCAGCTGACACACCTGAATTCTGGCCTGTTACAAATCAACTTTGTGACCTTCAACAATTTTCAAAAAATTATTTTATTTGTTATCATCATCATTATTATTTTTATATAAACAATCATCTAAACATCTGGTTTATAAAAGATGCAATGAGTTTAAAAAATAAATGAAAAGATGCAACAAGTTTTTAAATGAAACAAAACATTTTCAAATGTTTGAAAAGTTGAATTTCAAACATTCATTTACAGCATTGAAAAGTAAATGTACTCAACCATACTTAGCTCATAATACAGCAAATTGGTGAATAGAAAAATAATTCATAACATACAGAATGTTTAATGAACTGGCAACAGAGAAATTTGGTTAAAAAAAAAAAGGCAGAGGAACTTTGTCCTTTAAGGATTAGAACTGAGGGGCTCCATAATCACCTGGCATCCACTCAATGTTGTATCTGTGGTTAGAAATGTCCATGATAGGATCCTGGGATCTTCTGGATAATTCCTTTAAGTTAAATTCCTTTAACTGTGGCCACAATGTAACACTTGTGCTGAGTTACTCTCTGTACTAAGCAGTCATCTGCACAGGTTCGTTTGTGTGTGCACCGTAATCACTCAGATCTTGGGTCCTTGTCGATCCTTAGAGTCACTCAATACTTTTGCTCCAATTTCTCTGTTTCAGCCATTACCCAGTCAGTTATACAAGGGATACACTTGGCATACAGACAGTCTGTCATTGACTGCACCAAGTCCAGTTTGGCTTTAATGGAAAAGTTGATAAAGTTGGTATCAACCAGGATGTGGTAAGGTAGACCCAGCTGTGTATTATATTGAAAGAATAAGCAGGAAGGGTGTTGGGAGATGTCTCTTTTCCCCAGCATGCTAGGATCTTTCTTTTCTTTCTGTTTAGGTTTTAATCTATCCTTTTCTTTAAGCCTCTGATCTCTGAGACTGAGCATTCACTTCATGGTCGCATACTTCTTGTTTTCTTTTGTTTCCCCATGCTCACACCACAGTCTTGTTTCTTCTATTATTATTTTAAATCGCTAGAAGACACATGTGTTCACCAGAGAGAGAGGGAAAGTGAGAAAGCAAGCCACCAGGTCCAAGATTTGAATCACTATTGGCTACATGGGAGTCTAGCACCTTAACCACCATGCCACCTGCTGTCCTGACCTTGAATAAATTTCACTTATTGCAGCAGTTTGGTACTTGAAAAAGAAGAGGAGGGTGCTACATGGTGGCACAGTGCTAAAATGCGAAGCTCTGGGAGGCCAATCCAGAAGGTTCTGGGTTTGCATCTGGAGACTGCCCTGAGTGTGCCTGGCATGCACATACCCACAATCCAAGGCTGGCTGAGGCTGGGAGTAGATTGCAGCATCAAGACCTGTTGGGGATGCTGTCTCTGTTGCTCGTGGAAGAAATAAATAGATAAACTGAAAAGGGAGAAGAGAAGACAGGGTGGTAACGAAATGTGCTGCTAGATCACTTCAAGTATCATTGCACTCTCACTCACCATGTGCCTAGAACTGAGGGTGAGAGTACAAGGAGATAGGAGCTTATCTATCAGCATTAGGCTCCTACAACCAGGGAAGGCCTGGTGGTACAGGATCTACAGCCATCCCCCAGGTGTCTGTCCAAGTCCTGACCCTCAGTACTCTTCGACAGCACCCAGCACTACTCCACTTCTCTCAAGAAGAAAGAGGGGGACCAGCAGTTAGCTTAATGGCTATGTCACTGGACTCCCATGTAGTTGACTGCAGTTTGAGTCTTGACCCGGTGGCTTAAACTCACACTGGGTGCATGTGCGTGCATGCCCAAGATCCTGAGAGGAGAATGGAGGAGAAAGGGTTGTGGCGTGGCCATCCCCCTGGAGAGTGATTTCTTGCTTTCTATCTCTCTGTCTCTGTCTTTCTGGCAAGCACATGCACCCTATAGCAAAAACCTTTCCAAAAAAAGAAGGAAGAGAAAGCTCTGAGAATCATTATGACAAAGTGATTTTTTTTTTTTTGTTACATAAAATTAACCTATTTATTGTAGGCTACTGATATTCCAAATGTCCATGGAGCTTCTACTGGTCTTTCAATTCCTTCAGTCTTCTGATGTCAGACTTTACTGTGACAGCCAAAGTGGCATTGTAGGTCCAGGCATCACCAGCTACCGCTTTCGTGCAGGAACCACAGTGCCAGATCCCCACAGCCCGTCTCTTCATCTTAGTTTGCCACAGAAGGAGCAAGTGTATTTGGTGTGCTTGCTGATTTTAATTTTCTTAAGAACCACTTTCCAGAGGGAGGCACCATAGCGGGTCCCATGTTTACTGACAATGCCAACCTTCTTGGTGCGTTTAGCCATATTGCTGCCAACTAGGTCCCAGCCCAGAGAGGAAAGTGATTTTTTTTTTTGATGGATTAATTTTGACTTTAAAATAACTTAAACCAGAGGGTATCTTTAGAATAATAGTTTTGTTTGTTTGTTTTGGTTGTATTTTTTTAGCATTATTTCATTTTATTTATTGCCATTATTATTATTTTGCTACAGAACCTGTGTGCTCACCAGAGAAAGAGAGAGAGAAAGAGAGGGAGAGAGAGAGAGAGATAAAGTAATATAGCAAGCTACCAAGTCAAGTCCAGGACTCCAACTGTGGTTGGCCATGAGGAAGTCCAGCACATTAACCAGCACACCACCTGCTGGACCCAAATAGAGTGTTAATTACAGGCCCAAATACACAAGCATGAATGTGTCAGTAATTATAAACCAGTTGGGGATTATCATAGCAAGTATTGATGATGAAAGGGAAGAAAAAAAAGGCCTAAGAAGATGTAGAAAAGAATTACTCATCTGTGATACAATGATTTGGAAAAACATCAGTACCATTCTTGAGTATTCAAGAAACACTGAAAAGTTATCAGAGCCCTCACTCTGTGGTTGAATTATTTTGCCCATCACAATGACATAATTTCATCTTTGTATGGTGCACATGTTAGTTGAGACTCTGTCAGTTCCACATAACATTCACCAACTGGAGTTGGCCAAATTGGTTAAAGGAGAACACTGCAGCTCTCTTGGGCCAAGTCCAGGCCCTAGAGTAGGCCTTGTTCAGCAGAGTCCAGAGGATCTGGGGAGAGAGGAAATGGTAAGAGCCCAGGGCCCTAAGCAGAGCCAGGGATATGGAGAGTCACCCCTTTGCCAATGTAGGCTTAGGAGTGGGAGTCAGTGCCCAGAGAGGGCCTTGTAGAT